ACCCACATAACACTGGAAACAGGCAGGTCTTATCCCCCTGCCCCGGGTGCCATGAGCCAGGTTGTGCCACAGATGGCCCCGACCAGATGTTCTCTGCCTTGCTCTTGCCTCTTCCCAGCCAATGCCCGTTCACCAGTTGTCCCATGAAAGACCCGTGGAATGGAGCAAACCTGGCGTGGTCTACCGGCAGAAGGCAGTGGACCTGCATGGCCTGCACATCACATCTCCGTTGTCCGTGCACTCTGTCCCTTGGGGTGCTGCCTCACCACGCACTAAGCTCAGCGGCTGCCCCACCACTTCTCTCATGCTGGGGCCATCGCTGCTCTCGGGACCTCTGCTCTCTGCCTTCCCCCTTTGCAAATTATCTCATGGTATTGTGGCTCCCTTTGGCCACTCTTCTCATGCTTGTTTGGGGAATGATAAAAGTTTAGGGTTGTGCCCAAAAGCTTGAGTGAGCGTACCCAGCCCCAAGTGGCTCTGAAGGCCGTGTGGTCTCGTGTGAAGGGCCAAGGCCTGACGCTCCTCGTCAGCAAGACAAGTGTCAGCTCAGCTGGCCCACTGCCATCTGTGCACTCACTACACACAGTGTCACCTCAGCCGGGTGGGTTCTCGCTCTCTCGAAGGAGACAGAGTGATGGGGGCAAGCGCAGGACCGTGGGTCTCCTCTGCCCACCCAGAGGAGCAGGGAGGCTGAGGGGCAGCTCAGCTCAGTCCCAGCATCTCCCATGCTTCGCTCCTCCCCAGCTGGAGCTCCAGCCCTGGGAAGGGAAAGGCTGGAGCCCGGACGGTCCCTGAGGCGTCCTCCCCGTCCCCTGCCCTTCTGCTGGGGGTGTCTGTCCAGCTGCTCAGGCTGTCCTCAAGGTCGGGGTTTGTCACGTATTAACCAAGCATTGGTGTCTTTGCATCAGGAATTTCTGCCACTGCTACAGAAGGCAGCGAAAGACGCGGGGAAGGAGGGGCTGAGCTGCAGCAGGGCTGCGGTCATCAACGTCTCCACCAAACTGGGCTCCATTGGGCTGTGCCTGGGGGTGCCGGAGGCGCCCATGTACCCGTACCGTGCCAGCAAGGTGAGGTGCCAGGGGAGGTGCTGGGGGTGCTCTGCTGGGCACCGTGCCGGTGGAGGGGAGCCCATGGGGGCACCCGCCTGGGACTGAGCCTTTCAGGCGGGCTGTGCCGATGCTTTATCCCAGGACAAGGTCCCATTCCCCCCCTCCACAGCCATTTTCTGGCTGGGAAACTTCCCCCCTCCTGCCCACCGGTGCCGCTGGTCGTGCTGGCACGGCGGTGCCTCTTCCAGGCTGCCCACAACATGGTGACGAGGTGCATGGCTGCAGAGCTCCGAGACAAGGGGATCTTGTGCACGGCCATCCATCCCGGCTGGGTGAAGACCAGGGGGATGGAGAAGGTACCGGGCTGTGCAGGGAAGGGTCAGCAGGACTGGGTCCCCACACGCTACCCCCAGCTGTCCTCCCTCTCCAGGAAGGCAGGGACACTTGGTCCGGGAGGCCCAGGATCGGCTCTGAAGCCTGCATCCCTGTGGACATGGGGCTGGAGGCTGTGGAGCCGCCCAGGGGCAGGGAGGGGGACCACGGGCCATGGCAGCCCTGCCAACACTGGGCCCAGGAAGGCGTGGAGAAGAACATCACAGCAGCCTGGAGACGTGTCAGTGTGCGGCCAGGCCTCCTGGGCCCTCGGCTGTCCCCATGGGGAGTGCGGTCACCCGGATGAGCACCACATCCCCACCCCCCCACAGCCCCAATGGCCAGTGGCCCCTCAGCCTGGGGCCGGGCCGGGCGCCCTTCCCCTCCCTCCTCACCAGCCGTGCAGCCATGCCGGGCCGTGCTCGGCCCTCTCTGGAGGCCGCTGCTTTCCCACCCCAGCCT